TGAAGCAGGACGTGGATGCCTGCTATTCCATCAAACTCAGATGGCTACAGATCCTCCTCCAAGCATAAGTTATTTTCCTTAACAACCAAGTAGGATTCTACCATCATCAGGCATAGTGTCTCACATGGAATAGGTGCTTTTAAGTGACTTATGAATGAATGAATAAATATCATTCATAAATTCCTTCTTGTATGTGGGAATATATACAAGTTATTGCATCTCATGGGTTAATGAGTTCCATAAATTTACTTTCTGCTTTGGAAAACATTACTTCCTTTTTTTTGCCTTAAAGTGATCTTTTCCAGAGGACTGCAGGGAGAGGAAGGACAGCTTATTTCCAATATTCTGGGAATTGTTCAAAACAAAGAAAGTCAATGCATATATTGTCTTTTGATGTCTAACAAATTACCCCCCAAAATTTAGCAGTGTTAAACAACAAACACTTACTATCTCACAAAAGTTCTGAGGTGTGATTTAGCTCAGGGTCTCCCATCAAGGTACTGCCAAGACATTCTGGGGCTGCAGTCATCTGAAGGCTTGAGTGGGCTGGATGATCAGCTTTGAAGAAGGCCCCCTGCACGGCTATTGGCAGGCTGCCCCAGTTCCCCGGCCCCTGGGCTCCTTCATGCTGTGCTCCGAGTAGAGCAACAGTGGAGGAATGAAACATGGGGCTGAGAAGGCATTTTGTGGCCAAGTATTAAAGACCTCATAGGTAATGCAATGGAGTTTGAACTTTGTTACCTGTAGTCTCCAAAGTGGGTTAAATCTACCCTAATGATTGATCTATTGCACTGAGGGAAGAAAAATGCTATGGACAAATTTACTGAATCTTGACCCTTTTGTGATTGTATTAGGAGGTGGGGTCTTTGAGAGGTACTTTGGATTAGATGATGTCATGAGAGCCCTCATGAATAGGATTAGTGCCTTTATAAGAGTCATAAGAGAGCTTGCTTTTACTCTTTCTACCATGTGAGGATACAATGAGCAATTGGCAGTTGGCAACCTGGAAGACAGTCCTCACTGAGAACTTGACCGTGCTGACATCCTGATGACAGACTTCCAGCTTCCAGAGCTGTAAAAAATGAATGCTTGTTATTTAGGCCACCCAGTCTATGGTGTTTTGTTATAGCAGCCCCAACAGAGAAAGACAAAAACTTTTAACTTCTATTGTTAAAACCATATTGAATTATAGAACTATATCCTACTGTTCTATTGTTTAAACCTTTATGATTATTCTTTCATAAGAAAGAAATTAAGGCTTGCTAATGTATACTGTATCAATTAGAGAAAGTACATTAGGCAAAAACATTCTCATTTAGTACAGATATTTCTGAGATAAATTGGACAGAATTTGATGCCTAAGTAGTTATAGAGATGAGGACTCTGAGATTCCAAATTTGACTGATAAGGAGATAGCAGGATTACCTACAGCGAACTGTTGTGTAGCCTGTGCCCTTCATGAAGATACCCAGCCGAGAGAGTGTGGGGACAAAAGTCTTCCCTGAGTACTGATCTCCAAGCTGGTGTAGGGTTAACTAGCCTAGGGAAGTGTGCCTTTTGTAATTCACCCAAGACCCAGTGTGTGCCAAGTAGGGCCCTGGTAGTGTTTGCATTCACTGGGACAGAGACTGAGGAGGTACCGGTTAGGGGTGCAGGGAGAACCCTGAATTTTATTTTGGGTATATTGTCTTTGTGCTCGTAAGGCACAGTGAATGGGAATGTTCAGTGGACATCTGAAAATATGGATCTGTAATTCAAGGGGGAGAGCATGAGAGGGGAGAATTTTGGAAATAATTAGATAATAGGTTGTAATTTGAAGTCTTGGTACGGTTTAGATCATAGGTAGCCATGTGACCTGAGAAGACGGCAAGGATAACTTAATTGAAGGGGCAAGTAGAGGGGGAGGAGTCAGTGGAGTGGCTTTAGAAACACTCAGAGAGGCAGAGGAAAACGAGGGAGGAGGTCACCATTGGGGCCGCGGAGGGAGGGACTTTCAAGGGAATGGGCAAGGGAGAAAGAGCAAGTAAATGGGAAGAAAATATTCTATATTGGAGTAGGAATTAGGATATTGTTAATTCTTTTAGGAAGAATTAGTCTCTGGAGCACAGATTTCAGGTACGTAGTGTCTGAAGAGTGACTCAAAATTGGAAATGTAAAATACATACATTATTAAGAAGTTTGCACAAGAAAGGAAGGATAGAGATCATGGACCCTTTCAATTCTTCTGGGAAATTCATTGAATGAGTATACATTTCATCTTAGTCTAATGCTCAAGACGTATGTCCCTCCTTATGTGTGGATTAGACTTTCTGTCCTCCCAGCAGGTTCCCCTGCTCAGTTGCTTCACTGCATTTCTTAATGTCCAAAATTGAAGCAGTTTTCCAAAGGTGCACACAACATGATTCTGTGCAGAGGCTGAAGAATATTTCCATTTTGTTTCTAATTCTCATTCAAATGATAACCAGAGCATATTTTTCCATTTGACTTTTTTAATACATTGGTCCCGTGTCTTCGGGATACTTTGTAATGCAAGTTCCTCCCTCTCCATAATTTACATATATGTACTGTGCGTACAAAAGACACTGAATAATTTTTATTTGGACAGCGCATGTCAGAGCCTATAGTTTTATGAGTAATTGTTCTCTCCTTTTTCTTAATGGCATTTCCTCTTGAGTTACCTGTCCTGAAACTCCAATGTCACATATGTCTCATAGAGAGTCAATTGTTCCCTTAAGTATACTATTGAACTACCTAAACATGTCTAATGTCTTTATATCCCTGAAGGCATTTTTTTCTTTTGTATTTGCTCTTGCTGAGCATTTATAAAATATGTTAAATGGCACATTTTCCTGGAGGCTCTGCGATTTAGGCTTCTTTATCAAGAGAAACACTTTGATTTTCTGTCTCAAAATCTGTATTTCTTAACAAAACATTCCTCTTAATGGGTCCCTAAACAACTCAGGCTGTGTTGTTTTAAATGATCTTTCAAATAAAATCTTGTTGAAGATTTTTAAAATATGGAAACAAAGCGAGATCCCTAGCATCTCATATTTTCTTGCCTAAAACTCCAAAGCAGTCTGTGGCACTATCAGGAATAATTTCCTCTGATAGAAACTGTATTGCTTTATTGTGACATGCACTGAAATGTTTAGTTATTCTACAATTTGTGGTATTATAATGTTGCTCAGTTTTCTGAGCTCTGTCTGCCAGGGACCTCATCAACAATGGCAAGATGCCTGTTTTGATCAATATGTACACATTTCAGCTATAAATTCCCTCAGAATGCTTGGGTGAGGGCCATGATTTATTTATTTCCATTTTCCAATTAGGTCTGGAGAGGCATGCTTATAGACTCATTGGGAAAAGATAGAAAGAAAACTTGGAGGAAAAGAGCTCAACCAAAAAAGAAAAATCTTTCTGCTCTCTAAATTTAAAATAAATCCATCACCATTTTTGTTTTACTTCAGTTAACTTTCTCTCTCTGGATTCATCTAGTCTCCCAAGAAATCTTACAGCCTGGAGAATTCCTCTGTTAGTCTGGACTCTAAAAGTTCTTGTGAAATATATAGCCCGTGTGATCAGTGAATTTGAGTATATTGGTAGTTCATTCTTATGATGGTGCTTGTGGGCGTCAGGAACGATAATGTCTATATTTAACGGTATTTGTGGCTTGCCCCTGGCTTGCAATTACCCGCAAAGTGTAGTGGCTGAATTGAAAGGGTGATTGCAGCAGCCCATTTTAAGAGGTACCCTACTGGCTCCTTGATGATAATTTGACCTACAGCATGTGTGGGGCAGGAGGTAGTGGGGTGGTTGCACTGCCATGTCCTCATTCCTCCTGAGGAGTAAAAGGAAATTTCCTAGGGAATTGAACAATTCGAATCATAAATTTCTCCCGTATGGGCCTTTCTCAGCCACCTGAATAGTCTTGATAAAACAGCAGCTGCACCCACCCCTTATGCAACAGGCACCCAGTTTGTGGGACCTGCTGGGTCTGCAGGTGGCCATGACACCAGAAGGCTGAGCCAGAGGTGTGTGGTCTCGGGGGGCTTCATGGGCCACAGGGCTGAGACTCTGTCAGGATTTGCTCCTGATTCAACCATTTTGTGTTCATATGTCCATGGCAAGTGAGGCAGTAACTGTTACCTTTTTATACTCTTAAAAATAGTGCCCTGTCCAGCATGGACAGCTAAGTGAGGTCACCCCCACTGCAGATAGCTGCAAAACTGGCAGCGCATCTACAGAGCTGAGAACAAAACAGTGCACAACACTGGACTTCAGGTGCTCACAGCTGTGCAAAAGACAGGATAGAGGTAACAGCAGCAAAAACTCATGCAAATATATCAACCTCAACCCTCAGAACCTCTAGATTTTTGGTTTGAATGGAGCTATAAAAAGCTTACAGTCATGTGTTCTGTTCAATGTATTCTTTAACTGTTTAAATTATTTTATTTCCATTTAGAATAGAAATTCATTAAAACATCTTCCAGTTGTTAACAGTTCATGTTACAAAGAATTTTTTTAGGTTTTATACACTTTTTAATTGTGAAATCAACAAGTGATCATTGTAGAACAGTTATAAAACAGGAATAAGCAAAATAAAACACAATAAATGCTTTATTGTCCTTCATGCTAGGCACTGTTATAAATTATTTTATATGTTAGCTCATTTAATTCTCAAAGCAACTTCTGAGGGAGGTTTTTAGTTACACCTGTTCTACAGATAAGGAAATTGAGGCACAGAGAGGTTCCAAAAACAGTCTGGGTCCAAGTCTGTCTGTCTGCCATGCTATTATATTTCTTTCTATAACTACTCACCATGCCTCTCACGTGTGAATAGCTTGCTGTTAACCTAGTGGATAGTATTCCACACCTTTTTCTATTAATGTAAGAAAATGAATATAATTCACTGGTTTATCATATATGAATATATATATATATCTATCATATTTCCTACTATGACTCAAAATAGTTATTTTTATTTTTCTGATCTTATGAAGGAAGTGTGGGGGCCCAGGGAAGGCCACCCCAACACATACCATTTTGACATATTGATTACTTTGAATTAAAGCAACTGGAGAAACAGTAAAAGCAGAAGGGATACTCTGATCCTCCTCTGTCCCTGCCTGAAATCAGGAAATAAATCTACCATTTGGAAGGTACCATTCCAGCACCTGGAGGTAAAAAGGCATCCTTATCACCGGAGTCAGGGAATTTATAGCTAAGAAGGCTGCAATAAGCAAATGTTACATTTTCACCAATCTACTCAAATGGTGTAGAGAATTCCTTCCTAACTGAAGCCCCCAAATGTAAGTTTTCTTTGTCCTGTGAATTTCTTTCCAATTTGTCTCTTTGTCTAAAATGTATAAAACTGCTTGCCTTTGTCATGTCTTTGGGTCTCAGTTTCATTATTGGGCTTCGGTACTTGCATAACAAAATGTTGCTTTTTTTCTCTTGTTAATCCATCTCATGTCAATTTCATTTTTAGAAGAACCTTGAAGGGTAGAGGAAAAAATTCTTCCTTGCCAACAGAAGAAACAAGCTAGGAGGGGTTGAGGAGCTTGTCCCGAATCTCACAGCTTTGGTGGGAAAGAAACCTTTACCCAGGTATGCTACTCCATCAATGGGATTCTTCTTTCTACAGTGAGCTACCTCACTGTCTTTCAATTTTGATTTTGATGAAAGCACGTTCTTTGTTGTATGATGTGTCTCTGGGTGGGAGGGGACCAGGTGGTAGAGTGGATGCTGTCTGTGCCCCACTCAGATCTGCCCTCAGCTGGCACACCTGTACCCAGATACAGCAGGGCTGGTCCACAACCTCTTCTAGCTGCTGTCTGCTCCAGAGCGCTGCCTTGGGTCACGTACCCCCTCGCAGCATCAGGTAGGGAGCTCTGGTGGTGACTGTATTTCTATATCTGTGGAACAAAATTCAGCACCCACACTGAAGCAAGAGCTGCCTTTTGGAATTCTGGAACAATTTTCATAGTTTTTAGCCATACAGTTTACCTTGAATCAGTAGAAATACTTGCAAAAGTCCAGTTCTATTTTTCAAAGTGTCTTATTAAAATGTTTTGTTAAGGGAACTTATACGGAGCAAACAAAGCCCTAAAAATCATCTCAAACACATTTAATTCAGGGTCATTTCTCATGTTTCCATATTTCCAAGCTTTAATGCTTTTCTATTTCAAATCAATTACTTTCTATTCAGTCTTTAAGCACACATATTTCAGAGTTATAACAGAAGAATAGCTCTTTAGTTCACAGTACCCCCATCTGCCTTCCGTTTCCTTTGCTGAAAATTTCTTTTTCTCCATCACTGCAATTTCACGGTTAGCTCTCTGTCGCCAGCATGCACATCCCTCCGTCTGTGGGAGCACGCGCCATTGCAGCCATCACAGGGGTCCTCTCTTCGGGTGCAACATTTGCACTTCTGCCCCACCTTCCCTTTGAAGCCATGTGCAGGTATAAAATCCAAAATTTTTAAATTAGTTCTTGTATATAACTAGCATAATCATTTCATGACCTGGAAATGTTTGATCAATGCTGTAATTTTTCGGAAGTGGAGATTCTGTCACCGTAAAATGGAATGGTCTTTGAATTTTCCTGTGTTTCTTTATCCATCCCTGGCTGCTTCATCACTTTTTGTTAATATTATTGCAAGAACCTCTGAGCTGAGCCGCTTGCCTCCCTTCCCTCCCAGATCAATCCATCGTCTTTTAGGACTGCTAAAGCAACGTTCCTAAGCTGCTTCCCATCATGACTCGTACATGCTCAAATCTCTTCTCTGGTTGGTTCTCACTGCCTGTGGAAGGTAGTCTTGAAGACTCTTTAGACCAGTCTGGCAAACCCATTAACAGTTCTAGGACTGGAATAAGAGTACAGTTGCCCTTGAACATCACAGTTGACCTACATATGTTCACTTACATGCAAATTTTTTTCAGTATATTGGAAAATTTTTTGGAGATTTGCAGCAGTTAGAAAAAAACCCTTTTCTTTTTTCTAGCTTACTTTAAGAATACAGTATATAATACATATAACATTCAAACTGTGTGTTAATCAACTGTTTATGTTATCAGTAAGGCTTCCTGTCAAAAGTAGGCTATTAATTAAGTCTGTGGGGGTCAGAAGTTATGCAAGAATTTTCAACTGTGTTGGGGATCAGTGCCCCTAACCACCACGTTGCTCCAGGGTCAACTGTACAAATAAATTCTCTGGCTCACCCCCCTTTCTCTTTACATTCTCAACTCCATCCCAGCACAAGGGACTAAGGAGGCATGGGTGCAAACACCCAGCCTACGATCAAATTCAGTTCATACTCTCCAGCCCCTGCCTGCACAGTCACCTCTTGGCCACTCTTGGATGTAGTTCAGGGTGTCCGTTAAAAAGATACTGATTGAATTAAATTAAATGCAATTGGTTGGATGTCTTTTAAGTCACTTTTCAATTATAGTTTCCTTCTCTGTCTCCTTTTTTATTACTTGTATTTTTTTTATGCAAAGTAATGTGTGTTTGTCTCATAGGGCTTCTCTCAGTCTGGACTTAGCTGCATGAACCCCCATGATGTCATTTAACATGTTCTGTCCCTTGTATTTCCTGTCATTGCTGAGTATGGAACCCACAGGAAACAGTCAGGTTTGATATTTTTGGTGAAATGACTCCACTAGCAAACTCGCCAGATCTCAGATACAATTTCTTCCTCTGAGTGGTTGCAGGCCAGCTCTTCCTGCCTCCAGGCTCGGGGCTGCACGTGAGTCCTCACTCTATATTTTCTCATCCTGTCACTCAGGGCGAAGAGGCAGTGGCATCTGGTGCTGGCCATTTCCATGGTGAGGGCAGAAGCTCAAGAAGGGCAGAGCCAAGCCATGAAGATGCATCTGCTTCTGTTTGGAAGTGACATGTCAGTTGCTTACATTTCATTATTCAAAGGCAGTCTCATGGCCAGTTTTTACGTCACTGGGACATGCCAGGAATCTCAGCAAGCCTGGAGAGGTCACAAATAATCACGAAGACATGGGTGTTATGTGGTTTGTTTTTGTTTGTTCTTTGGTGATGTTAGAGTCACTGAATCATAAAGGGTACAAAATGGTGCTGTTCTGATCCTACCATCTTTCTATCTTTTTGAGATGAGTATTATAGAAAGAGAAGCTTATGCAAGTTTCTCATTAACTACTTATTTAGGGTACAATTTGTAAAGGAAAGGCAATATGTATATTTGATGCTTCTGTTTAATTGCTTACTATCAAAATAAAGTTTTTTTCCTACTGTCTTTCAAAGTGACCCAAGAGTGCTTTGAAGTTGGAGATTTATCACTGTGAACTCATGTATTAACGCATATCTGACATTTCAATCTGTAGAAGTTACCCTTATTGATGTTATCTTTATTAAATGATCACATCATTGACCAACAGGCACCTATCAAAATCTGAGTCTTTGACTATGACCTTCACGTTTTTGCACACTTCCTTTGATTTCTGAAGTAAGTCTGCTTATTTTTCTTTACCAGACCTGGAATCTGACGTTTCTCCAAGAAATGCATTTCTTTTAGTGGAAAATGTATTTAGATTCTATAATCTTGGCACTAGACATGATCTTTGTTACTGGGTTAGTCATTGTTTCTAGGCTTTTTCAGTGTACAGAGTTTTAAAAAATTTTAGATAAAATATCCAAATGGGTTTAGATAAAAATACATTGCGAGTTCACATCAATACTTCCGATATAAACTCAGAGTTTTTGCCTAATCTCTCATGTACCCCAAATAGAATCCTGAATCAAATAGTTAAAATATAATATGATAACCAGAAAAAAGTTAACACTGAAGCAATTTGATAATATTATGGAATAATAACTAACTATGTAGGTATGATGATATTATTGTAATTATATTTCTAAAAGAATCCCATATCTTCTATGGATACATACATATTGAAATATTTATACATGAAATTCCATGGTATATGGAATTTACCTCAGGAGAATCCAGAGGGCTGGGTGAGAGAAGTGGACAGTGTATGGATGAAAAAAGAATGGTCATGAGTTGCTAATTTCTGAATCTGGGTGTTGGGTGCATAGAGGTTCATTATTGTAGTCTCTCTACATTTTCATATGTTTGAAAATTTTAACAATACATTTTTTTAAAAGATACACTAGAAGAATATTTAATACCATAGGACAATGTTCTCATTATGTGATTAAGTGAAAAGGCAGGTATATGCTACTTGGTAAAATAAGCCCAATTCTGTAGAAGAAAAAAAAAATATATATATATATATTTAAAAGACTGCAGGGACTTACCCTAAATGATGAATGATCCTTTCTCTGTTACAGATTATTTTCATTTTAGTCTGTGCTTTCCTGAATATTCTAACTTGTCAGTGTATTACTTTCATAATCAGACAAAAAACAAAAAAGATAAATGTTATTGGTTAAGTGACTTCAAATAATGAATACTTCTCCACTTCATTGTTTGTATTCTCTTAGGATAATGGAATCTCCCACTTTCAATATCACCAAATGCCACTCCCTGTGGCTTCCCGCAAGCATGCGCTCTCCGCGCCGCCTGTCGTTTTCCTCCAAGCTGGATCTTCGCTGCCCTTGGTGGCACTCATCTTTCTTCCACTGCTAGATAGCCAGAGTCCTGAAAGTCAGGGCTTTAACTCAAAGTGGGTAAGAATACAACTTTATTTCTCCTTGCTCAATGTTTCTTGTCTGTGCCTTTACTGGCTTAATTTTTTAGAGCAATTTTAGGTTCATAGTAAAATCGAGAGGAAGATACAGAAGTTCCCACATACCTCCTACCACTGCTCATGCACGGCCTTCCCTACTATCAACATCCCCACATCCCCCACCAGAGTGGTACTTTGTTCCAATTGATGAACTTAACATCAACACATCATTGTCACCCAAAGTCTATAGTTTGTCTTAGGGCTCACACTTGGTGGTGTACATTCTATGGGTTTGGACAAAATTATAATGAACTGTATCTACTGTAGGGGAGCAAAACTTGCTATTTCAAAGTCTCTGGCTTATGGATTATTTTAGATTGGTAATTTTTAAGAAACAGAAGACTCAGGAAACACCTTTGACTTTTCCCCTAACTGACTAAAAGAATTTAGACAGATGACCCACTATCACCATATACAACTACAGTGGAGCTATCACCATATACAACTACAGTATAATCTGAACTAGGGGTGGCAGACAGGGAGGGATCTGGCAAAGTCTGTTTGTTAAAATTCCTCTCTGTGTCCCCTTGTTTCTGAATATGGCTTAGAAAATATTTGTTTACGAAACCTTGACTCTTTTTCATCTCCCTGTGATTTATCTTCCTTCCCTTTGAAGTCCCAGACGTCTACTCCTTCTCCTTAGCTCAGAGTGGCATATAAGCTTCAGTTGCCTGACTGCCTGTGGGCCTCATGTTCTTATGGAGCCCCCTGGCCCCCATTCCCCATTTGTACATAATTAAATTTGATTTTCTCCTATTAATCTGTTTTATGTCAATTTAATTCTTAGATCAGCCAAAGAACCTTGAAGGGCAGAGGAAAAATTTTCCTCCCCAATACCATCATTCTGGTATCATACAGAGTATTTTCACTGCTCTAAAAATCTTTGGTGCTTTTCCTATTCATCTGTGTCTCTGCACCCCCCTCAACCACCACCCTAGCAACCACTGATCTTTTGACTTCTTCACAGTTTTGCTTTTTCCAGAATGCCATACTGTTGGAATCATATGGAATATAGCCTTTTCATGCTGGTCTCTTTTACTTAATAACTTGCTTTTAAGTTTCCTCCCTGTCATTCAAGTCTTTTCATGGCTTGATAAACTAATTCTTTTTAACCCTGAATAATATTTCACTGTCTGGCTTCTTTTCCTTTTTTTTTGTCTTTAGTTTTCTTTCTTATATTTTATTATTTTTATCAATAATATTAAGAATACATGGATTTTGCTGAGTGCCAGGTGCTTTGCTAATTATTTGACATACATTAACTTACTAAGTCTTCCAGTCCTTACAATTCTGCAATGTACTGATTTCTACCCACGCTGAATGGACGGAGAGCTTACAAAACTTATCCAGCCACACTTCAAGCAAGAGGCAGAGTCGGTTCAAATTCATGTCTGTCTGGGTCCAAAGTTCATGGTTTTCCCACTCTACCCAGCTGCCTCTTTTAAAAAGAAAAGAAAAGAGAAGAAGGAAAAACACACACTCTCAAATGACCATAAACAGACATCTGTAAAACCCTATAGAGGACTTAAAGGGGATTGTGCTGTATTCGTTTAATTATTTTGTCCTATGTGTGTTTCACTTTAGCCCTATAAACTTGCTCTTTTGTCACTGGCTTTATTCTAATAAAAGTAGAATAAAAAGTGCACAATAATAAAATTTCAGGTTAAACAGTCTTATCAGGAAGGATAGAGAGAACCAACTTTCTAGGGGTGCTCTGTGTGGCAGGGAGAAGAGCCCCAGAGAGGAAGAGCACCAACAGGGAGGAAAGAATTGGAAAGAGAACAGAATTACAGAATTACACTCCAGTAAGAAAGGAGACCCTGGGGTCCGGGACTGTGCCCGTCTCAGAGGTTCTATAAATGAGTGAAGGAAGTGAAGTACGTCTGTCTCGAGGAAATGCCTGTGCATTAACATTAACTTCCTGGATAGTGTCATCTGTGGCATGATGTTGCTCAATGAAAACATGTTCTTCCTGGTGGTAAAAAATAGAAAATCCCTGAAACATAAAGCTTGCCTTTTAGAAACTAAAACCAAAACTAAACAGTATTTCTCATGGAGGGCCCTCTGCCAACAAATTGGGGGCATCTTTGGTGTTTCCCAATTTATACTTTGGGAATCCACCCCTCTTGCTCCCACTGGATGGCCAAATCTGCCAGCATCCCATACTGTGGGACAAGCCATGACCAGCCCCTCTGCAGCCCACCCCTTGGCTGGATGGAGCCTGGTGGGTGGAAGGGTTTTTCTCCCTATTGCATCATGCCCCTCCTTCCTTCACAGACTGGTTTTGTGCCCTTAGGACCCTGCTGCCATACTGTGCCAAGTGGGAATCTGAAGAACCATGGGCTACTGCCAGTGAGCCACCTTTCTTATAAAGATATTTGCATTTTTACAGGAGTCATGGGGAGAAAATATCTTATGCCAGAGGAAGGGTTTGAATCATGGAAATTTTAGACTTTGGAAGAAGCCAACACTGTGAGGTTTCAGGACATATAGAGCCTCATGTACACATCAGATTACACTATATGAAGCACAGCAAGGGGACATGAACTCTTATAACAGTAACGGTTTGGGTACTGTTGTCTATGACATTTTTCTTAGATGGAAATTGCTGAGAGATGGATAGGGCCATGGGGTAAAGTGGGAAAAGAAAGAGAGGAAGAAGATATTGATAAAAGTCATGTACAATATGGAAGCACACAGAGTAAGTGACATCTAAGCGGGGGAGAGGACTTTTAGGTTGCATTTATCCTGGAAGTTTTTCTCTTCTCAACAAAATCTAGGAGAATCCACAAACCGGTCTACCAAAGCAGGGAAAGCGGGAAAAGACAATCCTAAGAAGCTACAAGCAGACATTTTGAAGAACCTGAGAAAAGACCCTCCTTCTGAAGACACAATATTTGCCCAAATCTGTGCAGTAGCACATAGAAACAGAAATAGCTGCAGACAGGAAAACACACTTGGATAAAAAAGAAAAAGACTTGAAAATCCTGAACTGTGAACAAATACAGGCACATTCTCTGAAATTTGACTCATCTTTTTAATAAGGATCTGACTTACTCAGTATGAATTTTGGTGGAACGTTGGATAATATGGGTAAGTACAGCATTTAGGAAAGGATCCGAAGACAATGTAAAATTAGACCTCAAACAAAACTACAATTAAGTCAGACCCTGAAGATAATTTTGGCTAAACACTTTTTCTTAAAGCTAATGCTTACTGAGTTTTTACTATGTTCCAGGCAATAATCTGATTTCATTACATGGATTCATTCAATTTTACAACAACACTTTGAGATAGGTACTATTTTTATGCCCATTTGATAGATAAATCATTTGTGACTAAGAATAGATGATTAAATGTGACTGGGGTCTTGTAGCTGTCACGTGATGTTAGTACACTTGCAGTTGGAGAAATCCCACTACCAGTTCAGTGGCAAAGGCAGTGCAAGGTTTCACACCTCTGCTTATTCAACTCATACTCCATATATTAATTGATCAATTGTGAAAAACAGAACCATATCCCAGACTTCTAGACACAAAAATAGAACTATGAAGCTGCGTATATATACTTCTTCCTTTCCTCCCTGGAAGTCTCCTTCCCTGATGGGCATACATCTTTGTCCCTAGCCCAAGCCTGCCTGTGAGGGGAAGTGGTATTCCCTTTTTGTGTCACTTCCTTTGTCCAATATTTCTTAAGTTAGTGGTTCTTTTTTAGGAGAAATATAGAGAAGCATGTTCAAGCAATGAGTCACTGGTCTTGAGCAAAGTAGAGAAGGAAGGATGTCCTATGAAGAGGTAATGAAGGGACTGAGTAGATTTTGCATTCCCAGGAGAAATAGTAATTTTCAAATTCCCAACAAAGATTTTGTTGGTGTAGCTTCTGGCCTTTGTCATTAGTCCCAAGCATTCTGAAGCAACAGCTCTTCTCCTCCGCCATTCTGGGCTTTGCCCTCTCGGAGGCCATGGGGCTCTTTTGCCTGATGGTGGCCCTCCTCATCCTCTTCGCCATGGGAAGGAGCCGTCTCCAGCTCCCATAGGTCTTCCATGTCTCCACTCTGTGTGTTCCTTTTCCTATACCTTTCCAGGCAGCCTGGGGAAAGTGGTTGGCTCAGGGTTTCACAGAGGGGAGACAAATAAATATGGTATTAATAAGAAAAAAAAGGAAATATTGAAAAGAGGCTGAAGAAGAGGAACCTAGGTCTCCTTCAGTTATTTGGAAGGCCAGAACCTCTCTAACAGGAAGAATCAGAGGTATACCCAGGATATAACTCTGCATTATTTATAGCTTGCTGAGTACTTAGTGAATTATGGATAATTCATTTCATTGTTCGGGTTCAATAACCCTCAGTTTTCTTTTCTATTGTTTTCAGGGAAAAGAGCATCTTCAGATATTACAAAGGAGATGTATTTGAGCTGGGTTGACCACCTTTCTCCTGACTGATGCCCCCACCAATAGTTGTTTACAACAAAAATCCTGGCTTCCCGAGTGTGTGTGCAGAGAACACAAGCTGCAGCGCCCCCCCCTCGCTGGAGTGGTGCCAAAACAAGGCTTAATTCTGCTTAGATCTATCACTTACACCATTGCTTACTCTGTTAAAAGGTATGACAAGACAAGCCGTGTTTGCCTTTCCACATCAGCAAGAAATAGTCAGGGTCTACTTAGGCGATGGAGTTCTGACTGAGGGGATCAGTCAGCAACCTGCTGGTCCTGGGGGGATGGAGAACCCAGGTCAGGCCTGCAGATCAGCTGCCCCAACTTGCCAACAGGTGTGGGGAGGAGGCAACACTGCAGTCTGGTTGGTACACTGGGAAAAAACTGGCTGCAGGTGCAAGTACGAAGCAGTAAGGCCTCACCGTGTGAAGGAGTAAATGGGCAGAAGGACTTGACACAGTTGGTCTGCTGCCTCCCCCCACCTGTTACGGGGTAAGTTGTGTTCTCCCAAAATAAGATGAAGTCCTAAACCCCCACCACGAACCTGTGAATGTGACCCTGTTTGGGAATTGGCTCCTGTAGGTGTTATCAGGTTAAGATGAGGTCAGAATGGAGTAGGGTGAGCCCTGATCCAGTGTGACTGGTCCTTATAATAAAGAGGAGAAGAAACGCAGAGATCCTCACAGAGGGAGGGCGATGTGCAGGCACACAGGGAGAATGCCATGTGACAACAGGGACAGGGAATGCAGTCATGCATCTCTAAGCCACAGAATGCTTAGGACTAATGACAAAGACCAGAAGCTAGAAAAGCAAGGAAAGATTCTCCTCCACAGTGTTTCAGAGGGAGATCCATCCAGCCAACAGCTTGATATTAGACTTCTAGAATCAAAAACTATGAGACAGTAAGGGCCTGTTGCTTTAAGCCACCCAGTATGTGGTACCTTGTTATGGCAGCCCTAGGAAACTGATAGCCTGTCCCCAAGCCAAGTGTCCCTTCCCCCATCACACAGTGTGGGCCGTCACTTCCCCCCCTACCTAATGCCAGCCTGGCTGGCCAGTCAGCCCTGCAGCTTATGTTCATGCTACCCCGTTCCCTGGCTGGCCTCCTGCTGAGCATAGAGCACATGACCTTTGGTTCTTTCTTGATCTTTCAGAGGAAGAAGAATAAGATGTGGACCTATTTGGGTGCCTTTAGGATTAAACCAAAAGCTCATCAGCTGCGAAGGGAGCCGAAAGAGAAACCAAGTAAAACTCTAACTTCATTCCTAAATTGTCCATTTCTCAGGCACCAGAGAAAGTGGATTTTTTGACTAGAGGCAGGGCCCTGCTAGGGTGTCACATACAGGAGAATTCCCTGTGGTCTGAGTCCAAATTACGTGGGAGTCTGCATTTCTTCCAAGATGTCTGTGATTTTTCACAGAAGGCGCTGACTCCCTGGGCAGAGGGAGATAGGGAAGGGAGGTCGCACCAAGGCCCTCTTTAACCTTCTCCAGGTCCAAGCAAGCCATCAACATTTAACGGGTGACAGTGCTTGGAGGTGAGATGATTTTTTCTGAATGCCTGTGGGTTGTCTCATCTCATTTGATCCTGTGACAGCTTTACTCTTAGAAAATGTAGCTATACAGTGTCCTGGGAAGAATAACAGCCATACAAAGGTTGGGGAGGAAACATTTCCCTCTACTCTTTCAGCTTCCTCTAGGAATTAAATAGATGTGAGACACATTAACAGGAGATAATCAGATTTAATGATGTACATATGGGGAATCCACATAAACATGAGATTCCAAAGACAGTCAGGTAAAATGAGGTACATATGTCATTCTGGACTAAGAAGAAAAGGTAGGTATCTGAGGCTTCAAAGGGAAGGGAGACAATTCACAGGAAGAATGGAAAGAGTACATGTCTGGTAAACAAATGCTTTCTGGGCTATCTAGAAACAATGGAACACGGAGAGGACTTGGATCAAACAGGCTTTGCTAGGCTCCTTCCAGACCTCATTCATACTCTACTATAATGATTTAGGTGATAATTTCCTTTCTGAAGCAGGTCCTTTATCTAAAATCTTTGAGGTAGTTAGTAGGAGAAAGGTGTCAAAATTTCTTCCTGAGTGATAGAGACCAGACAGGAGAACTGTCATTTTGAATAGGCCCACCCACCACCTCAGAGAGACCTAGGTTTCATTTTACTTGGGCTACAAGCATTTTCCAGGGGACACGTCAGTAAGCCACAGGCCCACCTTTTCCCTGACCCATCCCCTCAAAAACCCGCCAAAAAACCCTGCCATAAAAAGCCTCTTAGCCTGTAAGAGATGCCTTTGTTCTGCTTGCCAGAACAGAGGGGTCCCTCTAAGGTTTAGCAATAAACCTGCTTGGATTGTTGAGTTCACATCCCTTCTTTTCCTTTTACTGAGTCTTTTGGGTCTTGATTGTTTTTAGCTCAAAATAATTCACATGTCAAAGTGGCACATCTTGTGGTGGTAAATATTGCTCTGCTACAGTATCTCTTTTGAAACACCTCTAAGAGTTTCATAATCCACAAGTTGAACTGGTAGATTGTCTCATCTGACTGAATCAGTGTTTAGCCGTGACAGTAGGTCGGTTCAGCTAAACTAATTTCAGGAATCAGTAATGCAGGTGTGCTCCCAAAGTTAGGGCTGTATTATATGAACAATTAGGTGTTTAATAAGGTGTTTCTATGGAAATACAAGCAAAACGATGGTTAATGATTGGAGCAAATTATAAACCCAGTTTCTGAGGTCTGAAGGCAGCCAGGCAAGCAGATTTTTAGATGTCTAGCTCAAAGCATCTTTAAATGGACCGAAGGCAGAGGTGATCCGATAGATGTTCCTGGTTAATAGTCTGAGTGTCTCCGGTGATCTTTGTGAGTGGCCACACACCACCCAGCATGCAGATTATCCATGTATGAGCTGTTGTGGTTATTTCTCTAAAATTTTTATCAACTCATTCATATTTAGTTTGCAGGGCTTTAGGAAAAAGGACAGTTTTAGTTCTCAATGATTCCAAGTCAGAAGGATGGGAGAAAAACTGAAAATGTTAGTTTGGAGAGTTGTAGCCAGACATTGGAGGAAACTAGAATTCAAGATTTAGTGCAGTTTATAATGAACTGTATTAGAATCTAATATCCACAAAGGCTTGCTATTGAAACATACTTTTTCCTCTGTGTAGTCACCCTCATTTCTGCCAAAGAAAGACAAATAAAGACTAATTTGTTTAAAAATAAATCTGTTTTCAATAAACTTGGCCTGAGTATTTCCATAAGTGCAACAAGGATCATACAGGCTCTTTTAAATGTTCTTTTGGAACTTTTCATAAGGAATCTCTAGATTGAACTTTTAACAGTCTCTTGAGACTCAAAGTCGAAGCCAAATGCTTGACATCAGACTTTGACCACAATACCTGTAGATTTGAAATTAATTCCTCTCTTCTTGAGGTCCCCAAAATATTTGGAGGTTCCTGCTCCTGCCAGTAAATGACCTTCTTTATTCACCTGGTGAGCTTCTGGGAGTAAGGTACCAGGCTAATATTTCCAAGGGGTTTATTGGCTCCATAAAGTCAACCTGAGTTCCCTAAAGCTGCCTTGTCATATCTGAGTCTATTCTCTTTCAAATATATTCCAGTCAAAGCCTTGGTTATATAATCAATATTTACATTTGTGACCTGTTATAAGAACAGATTTTTATTAAAGTTGTGCAAATAGATATAGTGCCATAAAAGTAAGAAGAGTCACCAAAAATTTCTGAATTCTGGAGGGGTCAAGTAGGGAGAAAAAGATAAATGTTTCAGTTAGGCTTGCAAAGGTAAAACTTATCAAACTGTTGTATGTCACAGTTTGCTTAAAAGAAAAAGTTTCCTTTTTCTGGGAGACAAAACATTTTTACAAAATCAGCAATATTTTAACAAAAGGTCTTAAAATTTATAATCATGCTCTTCATTTTATTTAGTCTCAGGTAATTAATTCTTGTTGACCTTGATCTCTTGTTAGAAGTTTTATGAGGCTATAAGTTTCTTCATTAGGGCTCTGTAAATTCTTACCCAGTTTAGTGGTATGATCTGAAATTAGCAGAAACTTGTATCCTAGAGTTCTTATCAGATTCTTTTCCAGGACTTTCTCTGGAGATGAAATACTTTCTGGGAAGCTTTTATAAAGCATCTAAGTAAAACAATGTAAATGAAAAGATTTTAAAATGGCTTTGGTTAAAGATCTGATGAGAATTCATTATAATGCAATTGTCAAGGAAATTTGGTTATTTTTGTGACACACATTTTAAGATAGTAACTAGAATTATTAGTGTTAACTTCATATTAGGACATATCAGATCTTTAGGAATTTCATACAATTTCTGGGACACTAATATTAATAACATACACCTACAAAAATATAATCCAAAGTTTAGTATCACCTATTTGACAATGTTTTCTATGTAGTTTAACAAACCAATTAAGCCTCATTAGTTTAATATCTCCCTAATTGACAAAAATGCATTCCCATTCATCATACCTTCCTTTTTTTGAAAATACACATTCTACTTTCATTACATGTGGAGCTCTTTTCCTCATTATTTCAGGTAGCTTTAACCACATATACTAGTTAGAACTATTAACCTTTAGGAACCTAATTTCTAGTGAAAAGTAAGTTACAATAGTTAGCTGTCTGTTACACCAGCATTCTTTAAAATGGCAAATTTATAATGCATTTAGCAGTTTCTGAAATATGTTCTTCTTAGTACAATCTTTAAATAAAGCACGAAACATGTTTACTAAGAGACCCAAATTTTTCTTTAGTTTCTCTGTAATAAGAAAGTCAAAAATAGATAAACTACATTCAATAATTAATGTTTCATTATTCTATCTTATTTGGAAATGATCTAGACATTCAATGAATTTCATTCAACTTAGCAAAACCCTAAAGTTTCAGGTTACCAAAAACACTTCAGAGCTTATTTTTAAGTATACATACCATAAACATAATTTCTGCTAAAATGTTCATCTAAAAACTATCATCTCACATACATCTGTCTAAATCATTTGCTCCCAACAATGATGTTTAGATTACTTAGGATTACCTATGAAAACTAACAGACAAAATAAACCATCACTCTATCTAATTTTGCTAACAAACTTTGCAACAGAGATACCATGAACTTATTCGGTTAATAAACTCAGGTAGAGTAAAAAGTTAAATGTCTGCATTATGTTCATTGTTAATAACCCTAAAATGTCTGTATTAATTAAATTAACAAAGCTTCTATCTATCAAAAATTATCCTAGAACTGTGAACTTGAAAAACATTTGAGTTACCTTCTATTATATTTCTGAGACAGAAATAATTTATAAATACTTAATTTAAGCCAATTAAATAGAGCTGTTTTATTAACTAATTTTAACAATACTAACTGGAGATAATAATGTCACAAAACCTCAATAGACTCACATAAACAGAGGCCTTATAGTTTTAAAACCTTTAGCCATTAGATGGGTATGTGTGGGGTAAATGGAAGTTTTCAACCAGAATTCCCATCTGGCCTTGATCGTGATATGCATATGAGGGCCTGTTTGCACATCAATGTGATGTTTATCCTGGCAGAGTCACCAGTCCCTTGCCCAGTTGCTCATTGTGGGTGAGGGAGAGCAGCAGCCATTCTCTCCTCCACTCCATTCCTGGTATGTAACTGGTCAAGCATCCACCAGTCTCCAGGGACTCACCCACAAAGTGCCTCCTGGAGGAAGGGGTGAGGGGAAGCAGAGTGCGCACTGCAGCTGGAGAAAGAGAGCTTGAAATCAGGGCCCAGTGGGAGAGGGCAGAGCAGCTATGGTTCATAGAAAAGTGCTGCTGAGGGAGAGAGACTGAGCTGTGAGAAAAAAACCTTTAATCCCCAACTTATCCTTTCTCTTGTCTTCCTTTGGTCTCAACAGATTCATAATGAACTTGCCCCATGTGGAGAACCCCCTTCCTTCAGGAGCCACAGCATGAGAATGCAAAACTCACTAGTTAATAAAAGAATAGTTGGATCAAAACTACAGTTATGGAAGATGGAATAAATTAAGGTTACCTGCTCAGAGGGCTAGTTTTTCTACTAATTTTTGTGGAGAAGACACATGATTTTTCATTTGTCTAAATTTTAAATGATCTTCCTCTTTTCATTCTATTTCTGATAAGAATTACCTTTCTGAGGTTTCTGCTTTTAATATTTCCACCTCAAGGTTACAGAAAAGAATGCAAGTTCCTCCAAGAAGGATGTAGGCTTTCTAAAGCCAATAATTTACAAGCTTTTCCAGATAAATAGGGGAAGTTTTAGGATTGTTAAAAAGGAATAGCTGGACTTTGGATTGCCTCTGGAGTTGCAATATTTTAGTTTTTCAAAGATTTGTAAGATAAGAACCATTGCTCTCGATTTTGTCTACTTCTTAAGTTCAGGACAATTGTACTTCCAATGTCCTGATCTTCTATAGCTACAACTGCCTGAAGGCAAATAAGAAGGGCCCTTGGTGGACTTTGATTTTTGTTCTAATTTCTGTTCTTTCATCTTATTAAGGAAATCCCTGAGGCTAGCCACTATATCAGTAAGAGAAATCAGAGCCCTCTAAAAAGAATTTTTTCCTTTCAATTATAGTCAGTTTAAAGGATCCATCATCTGGCCATTGACACATAGGATCTTATTAATCTCAATAGCAAACAAATAAGTCTTTTTATGGTTTAACAGTGGACATGGCATCCCCAAAACAGATAGGCAAAATATGCAGCCCTCACAAAATCTAGAAAATAAATTCCCAAATTTAGCCTAAGAAAGATCTAGTGGCAAAATGGGGTACAACTCACATTTCTATCCAGCCAAATTAGTCACAAGGAAGGTTGAGATGACAAAGGCATTTTATGGACCTGGACCCCTTATGACAAATTCTTTCAAAAACTGGCACAGTTGCACAAAGAGAAAGCTGATGATCAGATTCACAGCTTATCCAGTTTACCACCAGATGTGCACCAATGCATGTATTTTCCAGTTGGTGGAGATGAAAGTATGTTCTCACTGTTCATAGAGTCAAGCTCCTAAGACAGAAAAAGATGACAAGGAAATCTTACAGTTTTTCTTATATGCACATTATTAACAGCTTTAGCTAAACCTTGTGTCTCTTGGAGCCCAACTAATACCTGAAAAGGGTGTGCTTCTGACTTGGGGATTGTGTGGTTTTTTTTATTAAGTTCCCCATTGGATGGAAATTTTTTTAAGGTTGGCAGACAATCTAGGTCAATCTAGTCCATTCCCAAATCAACTTACCCTAACAGGAAAGTCTCTGGGCTAGGTGGTGACTGCCCCCAACAGTTCTTACGTGTCCCACTTATGCCCACCAGTTTGTATCTTTGGCTTCCAAGATGTCCCTTAGCAACACCCTTTACCTTGTGTGCACCTTGTCCAAACAGATGCTGGCCTGGTGAGAGCTGTGAACAGTCTGTGAGGCCAGCTTTAACAGTAGCCTTTATAGGGCCACTGCCTGCACTCTGCCACACAACAGACAAAGACAAAAAACAAAAACAAAAATAGTGACCATCTCTGGGAGGAAATGGATTAGTAAAACTAAGAGTACTCTACCAAATTTACCAGAGATGCTAAGCCCAAGCATGTGAATTCTACAGATATTTTCTCCTGCTAATCTAAATTCAGAAAAAGAAAGAAAAAGGGCTGTCACCACCTTTGTTTCCACAAGAGCCTGCAGACAGAGACCCAGAGGACTAATGTGGTAAGAAATATTACCTTCTGCTGGCTTTTGTCACATGTCCTAGGATCTCTGAGCCACAGTAGACTCGAACTGAACAATGTTCAGCCAGCAAAGTTTATCCTGACAACTATTCCAGCTGTTGGATAGAAAATATTTTCCTCTACCCTTCTAGGTTCTTCTGGATGTTATAAGAATTAAATTGACATGAGACAGATTAACAGGAGACAATCAGGTATAATGTTGTACATATGGAGAATCCATATAAACATGAGAGATTCCAAAGACAGACAGGCAAAATTAGGTACATATGTCATTTGAGACTAAGGAAAAAGTGTAGGGGTCTGAGGCTTCAAAGGGAAGGAAGATAAGTCACAGGAAGAATGGAAAGAGTAAATGTCTGGTAAATAAATGTTCCCTGGGCCATCCAGAAGCAATGCGACATAGAGAGGACTTGGATCAAACAGGCCTTTCTAGAATCCTCCCCATTCGCCAGACCTTGTTCATATTATACCATAATGATTCAGGAGATAGCTTCCTTTCTGGAGCAGGTCCTTTTATCTAAATTCTTTGAGGTAGTCGGGGAAGGTCGAGTTGGGGGTGGGGAGGAAGGGAAGATGTCAAAATTTCTTCCTGAGTCTTTTGGGGCTTGATTGTTTTAAGCTCAAAATAATCCACATGTCAAAGTGGAACATTTTAGGGTGGCTAATTCTGCTCCCCTATAAAAACTATCATTTATCAAGTATCATACAGTATTCACCCATTATCAACAGAAAGAGCCTAAAACTTTAATAACCAGATTGGACTACAAAAGTCAGCAGACTGGACTAAGCCTTAAACAAGTGTAGACAAAAAATAAGATTCATGCTCTGGGAAGAATGGAAAATTCAAAGAAGTTTTAAGAGCATTAGCAAGCTTCATTTAGAAGAAATATTTGCATTGGTACACCTCAGTCCAACTGTTACAGTCATATATGAATACCATTTTTATAATATACTGTTTTGTGACCTATTAATTTCACTGGACTACATATTGGAACCATTTGTTTGTGTCAATATATAGTCTTTTATAAAATAATTTTAAAGATCTATTGCAGCATTCCATCACATAAATGTACAGATTTTGCTTAACTAGTAGCTTGTTGTTGGGTATTAATGTTCCTCCAGTTTTTCAGTGTTATAAATAAATTTGAGGAGGAATCTTACACATGTATTTTTTCACACATCTCTGATTATTTCCATATGATAAATTCACAGTTAAGGAATTGCTGGGACATGGGTAGTCACATGTTAATGTTTTAACACCTTTTAGAAAGGTTGTACCAATTTATAATTCCACTGTAAATCAACCCTTTATAAAAGTGAATTTTCTGTTTATCTATACCTCTATTCTGGCTCACCAATGATTTGAACTGTCTGAAACGATGGCCATAAACCCATCTCCCTCTCCTTATAATGTCATGGGGTAAATTTAGTGCTCATAAAATTAGCATACTCCAGTGGGGGAGTTTATTCTTAATTTAAACACACTAATGGCTGTCTCCATGTAATAATAGTAACTATAATGGAATTAACCTTTACGGAGAGATCATTACATAGCAGGCAGAATTTATAGTGCTTTATAGGTATTAACAGCCTTATGAGCTAAGTATTATTATTCTCTCCATTTTAAAGAAGAGGAAACTGTCATAAAAAGAGTAAATGCCTGATTAATGCATTTTTCCATATTAATCTGTATCATCAAAACCTGGATTGTTTCAGTATTTCTGCAGATTGTATTTCTCTTAGTTTGCATCATATTTGAAGGGGTTCATTTTCTCTCCAACAGATTAAACACCAACTTATGAGGAAACTTTTGCTCTGAGTATGAAATATTGTGTTTTCTGGGTCTCAGGACCATATGTGATAAAATCCTATAGATTCTACCCCTCATTTCATCTTAAAAATGGGACTAGATTACAGCTCTGATTCCCAAGTGCAGTGTTGTGACATACTGTCCCAGTCAGGTGGAGTTTGCCACAGGCAATTTGTCATGAGTAAAAAAAGATCCTAAGTTTTCAAATGAGGTACTCTTCACATTAATTAAAGAGGATATAAGATTGTCTTTATGCTAAGATCACTTGCACTCATCACATTCCACCATGTTTCCAGACAGGCAAGAAGCAGAAAAACGCAAACAACCTGCAGCCTATCTTGCCCCTGACCCAGGGCCAGCATATGTGCATGTGGGTTCCTGTGGGAAAAGTGCTGAGAAGCTCAGCTCCAAACTGAAGGAATCAAAGGCATGGCAATTAAAATGACTGAAGAGTGGAAAAGGCACTCTTGTCTGAATACAATAGAAAAAATCTTTTTTAATCATTTCCATTCCCAGTTTTCTTTCCTCAAGTAGCACCATGAAGCCAAATTCAATTACCTTCCAAGAAAAGACAAGGTATGTCTGACAGCAGGGAAGACGGTGAAAGCACGGTGTTTATGCCTGAGCGTGTCAAGGGCTATCAAGATGGCCATGAGAAGAATGGGGCCTCCCCAAAACTTTGTCGTTAGAGGAAAGCTTTCTCATCAATGAACAGCTTGCCAAGCCCAGATAAGCAGCATGAAATGCAGAAGAAATGCCTCTCTTTGTTTATTCAGAGAGTTGCTTTTAGTCATTCATTTGCTTATAACTTGGAGGATGGACATTGCCATTCCTGGTCCATTGACTGTCTGGGAGACGCCTGCCCTCTCAGGGCGAGGTCAGCCCTTTCTTTTGTTAACCGTTGCAGCTTAGGTTACCAATATTCTTGCTTGCTGGTAAGCATTTATGGTCATTGCCTGCTAATGAGGTCAAGGCCATGAACTATAAACCTAATTAGGACAGTTAACTCAGTGGATTTCATAGTTACAAACTGGACACCTAACTCCAGATAGACTTCCTTTAATTTAATGTCCACATTGGGGGCCAGTATAAGTCCAGCTTCTAGTGAGAAACAATTCAGAGCAGTGCCATTTCAGTGTATATTTTGGTGCGTGAATTGCAAACCATTGTTATTATTCAAAGAATAAACATTTCTATTTATGGGCAGCCCGATCAACAGTACTTCCAACTCACAAGCTCTTCCTACTGTTTATAATGTTTGCCCTCCCTGCTTTTCTGGTATCTGGCCCCAAATGGCTTTTGCTGGACACTAATATCAAAGGTGCATCCTCCCATTATGCAACAATCCTCTGATTTGGGATGGTCTTTTTAATATGGGATGAATATTATTTAATGTTGTTGCTTTATCCTCTTTACAAAAGTCACATGTATGCATTGCAGAAATAATAAAAAATGCAGAAAAGCATACATTTAAAATTAAACCTCCTTTAGTCAATTTGGGAAGAATTTTTTAAAGGAACTATGACTGAATGATAAAACAACTTTTAGCATTTAAGTGGTTTGATTAAATTATGGACAGTCCTCTGAGTAAATTCCATACTGTAGAAATGATTCAAAACTATCTCCTCATGCCATTGTTTTTACATCATTGTTTACTTAAACATCATTACGGCTGTTTTCTCTTGCATAAATGTCAGTCTCTACTGAGAAATGCCGTCAGATGCCTTTCTACAAATCATAGTTTTGTATGTATTCATCTTAGGAAAATTATTGCCAGGAAATATTACTGTCCTTGTAATAGAAGAACAAGACTATGATAATTCTGGAAATTAAATATCTCCAAAGGATGTGAGATAATTAAGGACAATAATGTTTACCACTTGAAATTATTGTTATACATCTTAAATTTAAACAGTGCTGTGTGTCAATTAGATCTCAATAAAATTGGGAGGAAAAAGATGTACACACCCACATGTTTACTACTCGAAGAGGTTAAAAAAATTAGTGAATTTGAGCTGATAAAACTGTGTACACCTCACATCTAGGACCCTTAACTATTAAACACCTCCACTAATCATAGTTGTGAAAAACTTTATTTCAAGATAGTGTGATGGATAAATGGATTTAAGCCATTTGCATCTTTCTTGCTTTATCTTGGGAGTAGCAAATTTTAATCATATTTCTACTCTTATAATTCAGGGTGATTGGACAATTGATTTTCTTTCACGTTTCTCCAAGCATTATGAAAAAGAAAAGAAAAAGTCATTTCCCAGACTCTAGAAGTGCTTAACATAGGATAATGTTTTCAGTTCCAGTGCCGTTCTAAAATTTTTGAAGAAAGGCAGTAAAAATAGAATGCAGAAGAAGGAAAGGAGCAGCTAGTGTTTACTTCATTAACTTAGAAGAGCTCTGCTGGCAAAGGGACTGTGCACAGAAGATGATTAACTCCTTTAAAATTGGGAGCCTCTCACAAGGGCCAGAGTGCATCCTTCTGGTCCTGAGGAAAGGAATTAATCCATCCACCCCTTTTGACTGGGGGAAGAATGACCTGTTACTAGGAGCTGGTATCTTGGGTGCCACTGTCTGGCCAAACTCCAAGCTTTGCAAAGAGAAGTTGAAGTGGGAGACTCTAGGGACTTGCACTGCTTACAGCATGGATGACAGTGTAATGGTGGCCCAGCAAACTCTCCTGAAAAAGGCTTGTGTGTCTAGGAGAGAAAGCCTTAACCCCTGAGAGGAAGAGGCATAGGAAAGAACCAGAAGGCCTGTTTTTTCCCGTTCAACTTACAGACCTGCTGTGTGATCTTGGCCAAATCACTTCATTTCTCTGGGTCTCCAGCTCCCTCTGGGTGTAGTGCAACCCTTTCCAACTCTGACACTGTGATCCTCGTCCTGTGTGGGGCTGTAAAGCACAGTGCTGCTGACTGTCTTGAAAATCCTGTACAAGTCAGGAGGGAGCTGCTGCTGGTTGGCTCCTTCAGGTTCCTTTGGAGCAGACTCCCACTGTTACAACAAAAGCAAATACATGTGCCACTGCCTCACTGTTTCGTTATTCCATTTTATTCACAACAGTAATTAAACCAATGCTTACCTTTTGGGCTGTGGAGGTTGTAACAACAAAAAAGGTCATTTCCATAAAGAAACCATGCGAATCACTCAGTGCTTCTTCTTGCTGTCTCCTTTCTGTCTGGGTGGTCAGCAGCCTTTGTTCTTCAAATGAGAATGGCCCAAACCAATTGCCCAGTGTGCCCCTCTTTCCAAAGCACTGGATTTGGAAATGATGCCTCACTCAGTCCTGTGCCTCTGGCCAGGAACCTGGAGGGCGCCTGCCCCTCTCTGTCCCTGCATTCTCCTGTCCAGTCCGCCAGTCAGCCTGCCCATAGTTCATCCACTTCTCTGTATCTCCAGCATGCCAGGGTTCCTCATCTGCCCCTGGAACTACTGCACTAACTTCCTAACTTTCTCCCTTGTCCCATCTCCCACCCATTCTCCTCATCATGAAGTAATCTTGCTAAAACATGAATCACTTTACTCTCAAGCTTACAGCTCTTCAAGGGTCTTCTCATTGCACTTAAGATGCTCTTCAGAATCCTCACCCTGGTTTACAAGATCTGACGTGGGCTCTGGGGTCTCTCCTCTTACCCCTCTCCCATTCGGTCACTATGCCCCTGGGGCCATTTCCCCCTCAAAGCCTTCCCACGTCTGTCTGTGAAATGCTCATTCCTATCCTTCTCCTGCTTAACACCTCTTCATGTTGTGGCTCTCCACCTGATCATCATTTCCTCAGACAGGCCTGCTGGGTCTCCCCCTCCCCAAATACATATGTCCCCTTGACAGAGCGCAGGGCACCACTTGCGCGTTTTAATTATAATTACGTGTTTCATGGTTTACTTGTTTATAACCTCTCCGTTGTGAGTTTCCGCAAAGGGAAGGGCCATGTCTTGTCCTCTTTGTAGCAGCTTCCCAGTGCCCACCACACTGGCCAGTCCACTGTGAGTAAATATTGGTGGGCTGATTGGTGAGGACCGTTCAGGGAAAGTTCCTTTCTTCTGGCCAGTTTATTTCCATCTGACATGCTACTGTCAGGAACAACCCTGCAGATGACAATTCCTTTGTATATTTTCACTTTTTCAAAAGCTCTCCCTTTGAAAAGCCTTTTGGTTTTGTCCTAGACCTTATTGGAAAGTTGCTGTCCTATCTCCACATGCACCCTCTTTTGCTTAGGGATGCAGAAAGTTTAAGACCTTGCCAAGGGCAGGCATGGCTTCCAGACCTATAATATGGTGATCAAGCACAGGAGCTCTGTGGTTACTCTACTGAGGCTTGAACTTGGCTCTGCCCTTTTCTAGCTACCTGACTTTGGGCAAGAAATTTCACCTTAATTTTTCAACTCTAAAAAGGGATTAATAAGACAAATTACCTTATAGGTTGTCTTGAAGATTTAAGGAGGTAGCAAATGTAAAATGGTTGCTACAATGCCTGACATACAGCAACTGCTTGATAAACATTAGCTTTTATTAATATGTTTCACTCAACTCCTGAAGGAAAGTCCAAATGCTGAGTTGCAGGGCTGGGGAATTCCTGGAGAGGCATCTTTTTCTCCTATCTTGGTTCCTATCACACATATTCTACCCTATATTTTGAGGTCCCAAAAGGTGGCAACAAAAATGTGATAGGCTTTAATTACCGACTCTATTCATTTGAAGCCATAAGCAGATCTGAAATTTACAAGCCAGCAGTATGAAATTGCTGATGACCATCATTTAAACCTTGGCAAAATGAATCATGTTTATGAATAACTAATAATATTTTCAAGTCAAGTCACTTTTTCCTAGAGAGTGTCGGTGCACTGACATTTGGTGACAGATCAATACAGAGTAGATGATAGTAACCTTCTAAACAGAAGCTGTAGCACACCCGGAGCCAGGGTACTAAGAGAATTTAACATTCCACTCTACTGCCTTCCACTTTCCGGCTTCATCAACGGGTGGTTTTTAAACGAGAAGTGCATCCCAAGCTCTCAGTGAAGGCGGGAGTGGGAGGAGGTGAAATACAACCTTTATTTTCCCGACTGCTTATCATCCAATTCCTTGCTTTCCTCTGACTCTCATGAGTGATGAGGTCATCCCGGAGCAGGAAAATCAAACTCCTATTTTTCAAACCCAATAAAGGCCGGCATTGTTTGTCTGCGTAAACAGGCCGGACGGGTGGGTGGCAGGAGCACCAGTGGCCCGCCCTCTGGTGGTCGCATGAGACAGTGGTGCCCTGCGCTCGGCGGAACAGCGACACGGAGGCGGAGAGGGTTCGTGCTAAAATGTAAGTTAAAATTAGATCAATAGTCAGCTTGGCTCTCTCAATCAATGCTTCGCAGGAAGAGCGTACAACCAGCTATTTATAAGCTAAACCCAGCATTATCTTCCTCTTTTAGGACGCAAAGAACCATTACTGTGCGCGGCAGGGGAGAGGACGCTGCAAGGAGCTGATGCATGTCACATTATAGCCTCGCGGCTTGCCCCGGACTTACGCAGCCTCGCTCTTCGCGGGCGGGGAGTGGGAGGTACACTCCTGCAGCCGGCGACCCACTGAGCTCTCCAGGGCTCTTTCCCGGGCCTGCCGCCCAAGGATTCACGCCCGCCTATTCCTTACCACAGTGGAATTCTTAGTTTTTAAACAAAGAAGGCCAAAAAGACAAACGATCATCAGGGGCCCTCTTGGAGATACAGAGAGCACGATGGCTCCTTCTAACCTTCAGGGGCCCGACTGCCTGTGAACAAGGGTTCCCAGCCTAGCTTCCCCAAGGAACTGCGTTACTCAGTGCTTGCTCAGACAATTGTTGCTGTAAATACCAGCAATCCACCAAATCCCTGCCTCCCCTTGCTACCCCCACCCGCAAGCACGGATAGGAACGGATTTACAGCAAGCAGGCTTGTCTGGTTGCATTATTTTTAAGGCCTTGGTAGAAAGAAGGGGTGCTCCCTCCACCCCTGAGGTACTGGAGCAACTGGACATTCTCAGGCCTTTGCCGCTGTGGATGGAAGCCACCTCCCATATTTGGAGAAATGTCCTCACCTAGCATTTGTGTTAAAGTTGTTCAATTATTTCCTGATTGTGAAAGATGCTCCAGAAAAAGAGGCAAACCTGGTACAGCACAACTTCCTTGGAAACAAGATAAAAAATACTTCAGGGGGAAAAAATAGGCATTCCTGTCTTTGATATGTATGGAGCATATTTTATATACATGTATTTGTTTTTCCTTGAATTTTGCTTTTCTTTATTTTACAACTTTCTTTAAAAGCATGTACTATATTTACCATCTAAAAACTTTAGAGTGAAATAATTTTAGTATTAGCTTAAATGTACATTAGATATATTTATAGAATTACCTGATTGTTTGACATAAAAAGATTTTGAGCTTAAGACAGAAACTGAAGCATTCGTCATTTAGAAACCTTTTTCCTCCTCTTACCTCCAACATAGATCCTGCGTCTGTCCTTTTCTCCCCACCTAGATGGCTTCTAGCTTAGTTACAAGTCACCATTCATTATCCTTCACCTGGATTACAAAATAGCATCATGTCTGGTCTTCCTGGATTCACTGTCTCCCCACTGCAGTCTTTGCATTCCACATAGCAACTAGGTTGCTCTTTTAAAATGTAAATCAAATAATCTCTCTTAACTTTCTAATAGCTTCCTTGGCTTCCCTTTGTACCTCATACCCCAAATTCTTCCCCAGAAGCTTGATGTGGTGTGTGAGCTGGCCCCTCTCCACCCGTGCTCATCTCACTTTCTCACTTTTTGTCATAGCATGCTTTCACCTAGCGCCTTCTTTCTAGATTTCGGACCCATAAAGTCCTAGTACTTGCAGTTCACTCGGTGCAGAATTCTCTTCCAGAAGATCTCAAAGTTACCTTGTTCTCATCACTTCAGTCTCAGCTCAGGGATCAGAGACCTTCGGTGACCACCTGCTGCCTGGCTACAGAACTCATAATTACATTGCCCTATTTTATTTTCAACACTGTGGTTCTCTGAGCCTTGTTTGTTTATCTATTGTGTTACAGCTTATTCTCTCTTTCTAC